ATAATTTCTAACTATTTGTAGTTATCCTGGCATTCACCTCATACCCATACGGTACCCATAAAACTAAGAATATGGAGGTCAAATTAGCTCAAATTGAACAAGAACAAAAACAAGCTCAAGCAGAGATGGGAGAAAGATTAAACAAAATGGAAACAGAGATGGAAAGTTCACAAGTCGGCCTGCTGCAAAAGATTGAATAAATGTTTAAGAAGCACGCTACAAGTGGAAAAGATGTTGTTGACCAATCAATATCATCTGATCAAGATCTCTCGTATCCTCCAGGGTTTGAACCTAGGGCATCGCATCCTTTCGGGTTTACATCTGGCCCCAACACCCACCAGGGTTTACACCCGACCCTTCGTATCCTCCCGGTTTCAACCCAGTGCACATTTCAGTTAGATCGCCAGTTGTGCAAGAGGCTCACCCATGAGTCTACATGGCAAATCAGCAAAATCATAATGAGTTCGCATTTCAAACCGATTACCCAACGGCTGCTAGGGTAAGACCCATTGAATCAAGCGTGGAGGAGTTGCCACCTGATTTTCAGGAGGTCTCGGAAAAATGAATGGTTAACAGCGAGATAACCCAACAGTTGAAAAGCCTAGAAGAAAGAATGAGATTAGTAGAAGAGGAGCCATTATATGGTATGGATTATAGGGAGGTAAGTTTGGTGCCCGACCTGATTCTACCCCCGAAGTTCAAAGCAACAGACTTTGAAAAGTATGATGGAACTACTTGCCCATCAGCTCACCTCGTCATGTTCTGCAGAAGAATAGCATAGTATACTGGAAATGAGAAACTACTGATACATTGTTTCCAGGAAAGCCTAACAGGATCAGTAATTAAATGGTACAATCAATTGACTAGATCCCAGATCAAGTCATGGAGGGACTTGGCTCGGGCGTTTTATGAACATTATCGTCACATCACCAAACTAGTGCCTGATAGATGGACATTGCAGAACATGGAAAAACGACATAATGAAACTTTCAGGTAGTACACCCAAAGGTGGCGCGATGTTGCTTCAATAGTACATCCCCCGTTGCTAGAAAAAGAGGCTACGGTTATCTTTGTACATACTCTGAAGGCTCCATATTTGGGGCATATGTTGGGAAATGCTACCAAGAATTTTGCTGACTTGGTTCTTTCTGGAGAATTAATAAAAAATGCCATTAAAAGTGGCAAGATTGAAGGAGGTGATGGGTCGAAGAAGCCCTATTTCAAGAAAAAAAGACAATGAAGTGAGCCAGACGAGTACTTATAGCAAGAACTACGCAGCCAGCGTCACGATTTCGAAGCCTAAGACGGAGAAGACCAACTCCTATAAAAATAGAGGGAATAGAAAAGAATATACAAGACCAACTTTCTCAACAGTTTCAGTTCCGTATACAGAAATCTACGCCTCACTCTTGAAAGCAGATTTAATATGCCATACAAATTGACTCCGTTGCAGCCACCATACCCTCACTGGTATAACGCTAATGCTCATTGCGAATACCACGCAGGGATTACTGGGTATGACATCGAAAATTGCCCTCACTTTAAGAAATTTATTCAAAACCTTATCAACGCTGGAGATTTAGAATTCAAAACACCGGCAGTAAATAATCACCCCTTGCCCAATCATGGAGGTTAGGGAATCAATATGGTCGAACAAAGAGAGATCAAGGCGACCAAGAGAAATGTGTCAGAGATCAAGTCTCCCCTCTATTGGGTATTCAAATAGCTGTGTACATCAGGAATAATAGAAGGAAATCCTAAATCAAGGCTATTGGGACATGAAATATACTGTGAATATCACCAAATTGAAAGGCATGACATCCAGGGGTGTCACGAATTTCGAGACTTACTGTAAAAGATGATGGATAGCGGAGAGGTAGAATTTTTCAGCAAAGAAGAAAAACCGCATGAAATAGATATCTGTATGATTGATGGCTCAAACAGGAAGCCAGGGGCGACAAAGCCGTTAGTCATCATAGTTAATCCGGGACTAGATAAATCATCATCGACAACTTCAAAAGTGGTGATTACAACTTTGTCCCCCTTTTCATTCAAAGATACTCGACAAGTTCCTTGGAGTTATGCAGCCAATGTCTTAAAGGTTTCTTAAGCACAGTGAATACAGTATAGTGGAGCAGCTTCACAAAAATTTCAATTTTGGATCTTTTGATCAACTCTGAAGTACATCGTAACGCCTTACTAAAGGTGCTTAACCAAACCTTTATCCCTAAGGATATCTCGATGAATAAATTATGCCGCATTGTGAGACACATAGCTACTGATAACTATATTACATTCACTAATGATGAGATCCCAGAAGGAGGGCATGAAGGCTTTAAACATCACGGTGCACTGCCACGGTCATATCCTGCCGGGGGTTCTTATAGATAATGGGTCGACACTGAATGTGATGCCCTTATCTACACTGTAGAGGATGTCCATTGATAGCTCACACATGAGAGCGTATCATAACATCGTCAGGGCATTTGACGGAACCCAGAATGATGTGATGGGAAAAATGGAAATACCCTTAATGATTGGGCCTGCTATTTACAATGTTGATTTTGTGATAATGGATATCCACCCAACATATAACTGTTTGTTAGGGAGACCTTGGATCCATGCGACAGGGGCAGTTCCTTCATCCCTGCATCAGAAGCTAAATTTTGTAACTGACGGAAGATTGGTCAGCATTGGGGCTGAACAAGAAATCATAGCTTCTGTAATGTCCAAGACCCCGTATATCGACATCAATGAGGATGTCTTGGAATGCTCATTCAGGGCCTTGGAATTCATCAATGCAACCTATGTGGCTGAAGGTAGTAGAATACCGCAACCAGCACTGTCGAATTATACTAAGATGACAGTGAGGAAAACCCTAGGGAAAGGAGCGAGAATTGGCAAGGGACTTGGAAAAGAGCTGTAGGGACATATGCGACCCATAACTATTGAGTGGAAGAGAGACCGTTTCGGGCTTGGATTTAAGCCTACCTTCCAGTAGCAGGGCCAAGAAATAAAGAAAAAGAATGAGGCGAGAAAGGCCATATTAAGAGAAGAGGATGTCTCCGGAGAACGCATGTCATTCCCTTCCCTGAGTAGCTCTTTCAAATTTGGAGGAGTGTACAATGCAGAACAACAGCTAACTAGTGCCATCGAAGCCAGGATGACAGGAAAAGCTCTAGAAGGACTGTCAATCAACATGATTTTTGGGGGTAACCAACCCGGGAAGTTTCTAGCTGGAATTCGTCCATTTTTACCTGGTGAAAAGCTCGACAATTAGACAGCCGAGGACCTCCCTATAGTTTTTAGGGTCAATCCAAAGTAATGCCCAAAATTAATTTGTATTAGCATCTGAAAAATATATGTTGAACTTTTTGTAAAACTTCATGTTTATCCCATCAATCAATAAAATATATTTTTCACAAATGACAATCATTTTCATTTTTCTCATTTTTCATTACATCATATTCTTTATTTACTTTCCAATATATCCGAGTCAAATTTCATGCATATGTCATAATAATGCTAGCATAATTGTTCCTGAGGCTAGTTGCAAGACAGATTTCGAGCGACCACTATATCTGGAAGAAGTCAATGAATGTGAAGATGGAGAAGATTGTGAAGTCCCTAGTGAGCTATTAAGATTGGTGGAAAGAGACGAGAAACAGATCTTACCCTACAAGGAGGAAGTAGAACTTGTGAAATTGGGGATCAGGGAAATACAGAGAGAAATAAAGATTGGAACTACTCTATCCATAGAAATAAGGCTAGAGTTGATAAGTTTTCTCTAGGAGTTCAAGGACGTTTTTGCTTGGTCGTATCAAGATATGCCAGTGCTAAGTACTAATATAGTAGTCCATAGGTTGCCGATCAATCCAGAATGCAAGCCAATCCAGCAAAGACTCAGAATGATGAAACCAGAGATGTTACTAAAGATTAAAGAATAAGTAACAAAGCAGATCGATGCAGGTTTTCTTCAGGAGGCAAAATATCCTGAGTGGGTAGCTAATATAGTACCGGTACCTGAGAAGGATGAGAAGGTCCATATGTTCATAGATTATCGAGACCTTAACAAGGCTAGCCCAAAGGACAATTTTCCCTTACCTCATATAGACACCCTGGTGGATAACACTACAGAGCATTCATGGTTTTCCTTCATTGATGGCTTCTCAGGGTATAATCAAATCAAAATAAACCCTGAAGACATGGAGAAAACGATGTTTACAACCATGTGGGGGATTTTCTGCTATAAAGTAATGTCATTCGGGTTGAAGAATGCTGGGGCAACCTATCAAAGAACCATGGTGACACTTTTCCATGACATGATGCACAAGGAGATAGAAGTATATGTGGATGATATGATTGCCAAGTCCAGAACGGAAGAAGAACATGTACAAAATTTGAGAAAGCTATTTCAGCGATTAAGAAAGTACCAATTGAAGCTTAATCCAGCTAAATGCACGTTCGGAGTAAAATATGGGAAATTATTAGGCTTCGTAGTGAGCCAGAAAGGAATCGAGATAGATCCGGATAAGGTTAAGGCAATTCAAGACCTGCCAGCACCACGCACACAGAAAGAAGTTCGAGGGTTCCTAGGAAGGTTAAATTATATATCGCGATTCATTTCTCAGCTTACTTACAAATTTGATCTTGTATTCAAATTGCTCAAAAATAATAATCCTGAGGTATAGAATGGTGAATTCTAGGAGGCTTTGGAAGTCATCAAAAGGTACATGTCCAATGCCCCCATATTAGTATCACTAGTACCTGGAAGACCATTAATTCTTTATTTAACAGCTTTCGAGAATTCAATGGTTTGTGTACTAGGGCAACATGATGAATCAGGAAGAAAAGAAAGAGACATTTATTACTTGAGTAAGAAGTTTACCGATTGCGAGACTCGATACTCACCGATTCAAAAGTTGTGTTGTGCCTTAGTTTGGGCTATCCGAAGACTCAGGCAGTACATGTTATAACATACTACATGGTTAATATCGAGGATGGATCCGTTGAAATTTTTGATGGAGTCTCTTGCTTTGACTGGCAGATTAGCTAGATGTCAGATATTGTTATCCGAGTTTCATATTGTCTATGTGAGTCAAAAGGAAATAAAAGGGAGCATTATAGCCGACTTTCTTGCAAGTCGTGCCTCAGAGGACTATGAGTCTTTGAACTTCAATTTCTCTAATGAAGATTTAATGTGCATTTCTACCAAGGAGGAGAGCTCCGAAATCAACAAATCTTGGACTTTGTACTTTGATGGTGCCTCTAATGCTTTAGGAAATGGAATTGGGGCAATGCTAATTTCCCCAGAGAAGATTTACTATCCTTTAACAAGAAGATTATATTTCTTTTGCACCAATAATATGGCAGAAGACGAAGCATGCATTATGGGAATAAAAGTGGCCATTGAAAGAATGATCAAAACGCTCAAAATATATAGAGATTCCTCGTTAGTGGTGTACCAACTAAGGGGAGAATGGGAGACGAAAGACTCGAAGCTAGTCGAATACAGAATTTGAGGATGTCATGTTCAGATATCTCCCCCGAGAGGATAATAATATGGCATACGCATTGGCTACTTTAGCAGTAATGTTTAAAGCTAATAAGAGAACGAACATGATGCCCATAAGAATGCAAGAATATGAGTCCCCGACTCACTGCTGTCATCTAGAAGAAGAAAAAGATGATCATCCATGGTACCATGATATTGTGCAGTATATGATATACCAAGCATATCCCCCGGTGCATCTGAAATTGACAAGAAAACAATCAGAAGAATGGCAGCCGGATACTTCCTTGATGGGGAAATCCTGTATAAAAGGGCCAGTGACCAAGTTTTACTAAGATGTGTAACTTCCAAAGAAGCAAATAATGTGATAGAAGAGGTGCATGGGGGAATGTGCGGAACGCATGCAAATGGTTTGTCCATGGCCAAAAAAATCATGAGATATGGGTATTATTGGGCACGATGCATACAGATTACGTCAATTACGTGAGAATATGCCATTAATGTGAGATATATGCTGATAAAATTCAGGCACCACCGTCACCTTTACACGTCATGAGCTCACCCTGACCGTTCTCTATATGGGGCATGGACGTCAATAGGGCAATCACACCGAAAGCTTCAAATGGGCACCGATTCATCTTAGTAGCAATTGATTACTTCACAAAATGGGTAGAGGTTGCTTCCTATTCCAGTGTCACGAGATCTACAGTTTGTAGATTCATAAAGAGAGAAATAATATGTCGATATAGATTGCCAGAAAGAATCATCACATACAATGCTACTAATCTGAATAACAAGATGATAGATGAACTCTGTTCGCAGTTCAAGATAAAGCATGCCAACTCTGTTACTTATCATCCGAAAATGAATGGGGCGGTAAAGGCAGTAAACAAGAACATAAAAAGGATCATTATGAAGACTACAGAAACTTACAGAGATTGGCACGAGAAATTACCTTTTTCCTTTTATAGGTATAGAACGACTGTGCGAACATCGACAGGGGCAACGCCTTTCTCTCTGGTATATGGAACAGAGGCAGTCGTACCTATTGAGGTTGAAATTCCATCACTTCGAGTCTTGAAGGAAGTGGAGTTGGATGAAGCAGAATGGATTCAGTCTCAGCTTGATCAACTAAATCTTATTGAAGAGAAAATGTTGAATGTTATATGTCATGGGAAAATGTACCAAAAGAGGATGATGAGATCCCACGACAAGAAAGTTCACCCAAGAAAGTTCTAAGAGAGGGATCTAGTATTGAAGAAGATTTTGCCAATCTAGAAAGATTTTCGTAGAAAATGGATGCCTAATTGGGAGGGGCCTTACGTTGTTAAAAAGGCCTTCTCCGGGGGAGCTTTAATTCTAGCAGAGATGGACATAAGAGTACTGAAAAACCCTATAAATTCAGACTCTGTCAAGAAATACTACGACTGAGAAGAAAAAAAAATAAAAAAATAGAAAAAGAGAGAAGATGGGAGGTTTGAGGTGAAATCGTGCAAAAGGCGCCTTGAAACCAAAGGAGGATTTGTGTTGAAAACTAGAAAAGGGCGGCTCAAATACGTTTTGATATGGAGGCATTCGCCAAGTAAACCCCTCGAGAGATTAGTAGTTCATGAAGAATTTCACTTCTGCAAAAATCATTAACACATTGAGATATCTCAGACAGAGGACTACCTCGGGTGTCAAATCAAATGTTGCAGGAACAATTATGCTAGAATTCATTAGGATATATGCTAATTTGTTTCCAGAGTCTTTGTTCAATTTTGTCGATTTCCATGACTTTGTATAAAACTTCTCTTTTGTCAATAAATTTCATGAGTATCATTTCAATCTTCAACTCATTTTTTTATGTGTGCCACAAGTAACTTAGCATAATACAAATTCCAGAAATTTCTCGGTATTACTTTTGATTGACCTGTAAAATGATGAGAATCCAAGGTCGTTCAATCGTTCGATATTTGCACTAATTAAAGCAAAGGATTGATTAAAGGGCGAAACCAGAAATGACAGTAGCCCGAATAACACAAAAAATAATGAGAAGGAGTACGAATAAAATAAAGAATCGACAAAGATAGGGATTCGACATGGATAAAAATGGGAAAACAAAGGCTTACAAGACCCTAAAACCAAAAAACACACACACCATGCATACTCATACATTCATTGAATAAGAGCATATGCATACATTTACTTCAAGTTTTGAAAACATGACAATAACTCAAAGAGTCAATGAAAGATCAGAATAACTTGTTCAACTTTTTGCTCGATTCTATCACAGAAGATGGTAGATCAGCACCAACATCCCGTTCGATTCCATCACAAAAGGAGAAGGAAGTAGATCATCATCAAGATCTTGTCCGATTTCATCACAGAATGAGGTGGATAGACATTTTCATCCAGCACATAAGCAGTTGGATCAGCTTCAACATTTTTCTCGATTCTATCAGAGAAGAAGGTAGATCAACATCGAGATATTGTTCGATTCCATCACAGAAGGAGGTGGATAGGCATTTTCATCCAACACATAAGGAATTAGATCAACTTCAACATTTTTCTCGATTCTATCATAGAAGGAGGTAGATCAACATCGAGATCTTGTTCGATTCCATCATAGAAGGAGGTTGATAGATATTTTCATCCTGCACATAAGGAGTTGGATAAGCTTCAACATTCTGCTTGATTCTATCACAGAATGAGGTAGAACAGTAACGATATCTCGTACGATTCCATTACAGAAGGAGGTGGATCAACGTTTCAAACGAAGAGTTTATAATGAGAAGAACTCGTCCGATCAGAAGAAATTAGAACTCAAAATTTCACTGATGGACCAAACAGATGAAAATTGGTGTTTTACGTCTTTGCTCTATTCCTGTTTCACAACAACAAGCAAATAGGGGCAGCTGTAATCACCAATTTTCAAAATGAAAAGTCAAAAGTAGCTTACCCACTACACCTGCTCCCATCATCCCTTGATTCCTGCAGAAACATGCGCAAAATCACCGAAACATTTGTAATATTTTATGATTAAATTATGTAAACGTTTGGCTATAAAAGCAGAGAAAAATAAGAGGAAGGAATGGGTTTTTTTGTTTCCAGTAGAAATACAAAGAAGTGTTGCAAGGTAGTTGTTTTTCTTTAGTTTTTATACGTTATTTCGAAACAACAACGTCTAATTTTTTTTTTTTCATTTCGAAATAACAATAATATTTGATTTTTTTCGTTTAATTTTGGAATAATAAAAAACATAAATAATATGTATTTCATAGTAAAAAATAAAAGGAATAGGAATCGAGGCTTACTTGAGCCGAAAGGGCCTCGTCGGAGGTCGCCGGAATCCGGGGAAACCGAGCGGTTTCGGGATGTTTTCGGGTACTTTAACGCTTTATTTGGTGGTTTTAGCCCCGAGGAGGGTTCCTAATGGGTAGATCTATTGTTTTGGGGTGATTTGGGTCGATTTTATAAATTTCGGCCACCGTGTACGGATGTCAAAGTGGCGGCCGGCCGGTTGCTGGGGTTTGAGCAAGATGGCCGGAGGTGGAATGGTTGAGAGAGCTCTCCCTTTTTTTTGTGTTTTGGGTAAAAATGAAACAAAAAAGAGTAAATGTTGGTATATATAGGCTAAATTAATGGTAAAATTACATCTTAAATGCCTCTAACTTTCCCTTTTTTACATTTTAGTCACTGTAAGGACCAAAATTGATATTTCACCATTTCTCTATGCATGCTTTATTTTTCTGGTAAATTTACTGTTTCAGTATCTTTAATTTTAGCGTATTTTTACACTTTGGTCACTGTACCTTTTATTTTAATTTATTTTTATTTTGGCACGCATTTTTATTTTATTTTGATTTAGTCCTTATTAGTCTTAATTTAGCTATTGAATTTAATTTTCTTTCATTTTGGTCCCTATTTACTTTTTATTGAGTTACTTTCTTTTATTTTCTCGCAATTTAGTCATTATATTTAAATTTTATTATATTTAGATCTTTGTATATTTTAATTTTCTTTATTATTTGTAATGTTTATTATTTTGTTTAATTTTAGTATTTAGTTAATTTATTTTGTAATTTTATTTTTAATTAGGATTATTATTCGAATCAAAATTAGAAATTAGGATGACACTACAGTATAATTAGGGGGCAATTCGAGTAGAGTTTTGCATTATACGCCCGAATACTCGAATCAATTGTTCGATTAAAAAATAATTAATAATTAAATTTTTCCTAAAAAACTTAGTTTAATATTTTAGGTCATAATTAATTTTTAACTAGTCCCTTAATTTCAGAAATTATTAATTTAGGTCTTTAGATTTTTAAATCTTTTAGAACTCTGATATTTTAATCATTTGCTCTTTTAGTCCCTCAAACTTCGATTAGGCTTTTAATAGTGACATAATCAAATAGGTTAAATAGAGCCTCCATTTTAGCTTAGATTTCAAACTAGTCTTTAATTTAGAGGATAATGCGATTCGGCTCTCGCGTAAACGCTCGAGGGACCATCTCGGTTATTCGATTAAATAATTATTTAAAATCAAATAGGATTAATACTAGAGCCTACGCTTTTAGATTTGTGCCCTAGGTTCCTTAATTTTCATAATTTGACACTTTAAGCTAGAAAAAGTCTTAATTTAGTTTTAATTTAATTAGAATTAAATAAAATTTGGCTTGATTGCATTTTCTTAAAATTTAAGGCACTGTTCACTTATTAAAGAGTTAATAGTATATCCTCCACGATCGTGCTCAGGGGGTGACTACTGGTAATTCCCTAAATAAGTCGACGTCCTTTTCAAAACCACATCATGTTTTATAAAAATGAGACAATTTTCGGTTATTAGACACAATAGCTGATCTCCCACATTTACGCTCGGGGGCAAATACTATCGGTCTCAATAAGCGAATATCCTTTTCAAACTCTGCATCCTTAATTATTTCTAAATTAAATAAAGGTCGAACTCAGAATTTCTGATTTTAAATATAGGGTAACCAACTAGGTACTAATTTTTGGGCGCTTGTG